AATAACAATAATAATAATAATAATAATAATAATAATAATAATAATAATAATAATAATAATAATAATAATAATAATGTAGGAGTTTTGTTTTGTTTTTTTTTTTTTTGGGGGGGGGGTTTGTTTTTTTTTTTGTTTTTTTTTTTTTTTGTTTGTTTGTTTTTTTTTTTTTTTTGTCAACTTCACACAACAAGCAGTTCCCCTCATTCATCTGTCCATTTATTTTATAAATTATAGGGAATGTTGGATTTTTTTTTTTTTATATTTTTCATTAAAACAAAGGTAGTCTTGGAGGAAACTGGGCGGGTTTATCATGAATATTGTTAGAATTGTTGACTGATACTTAAGTTCTGCTACTACCAAACTTATAATTGTGTGAATCATTAGATGAATTGCGCAATTAAATAGTCATTTGAAATACATCCTGTCTTGTATTGTGATAAGAAAAACTTTGGGATGGGGGAGGTTGTTTAGATTCAATATTTTGAAAAGATTTTTTTATTTTAGTAAATCCTATCCAGCCTTTAAAATTTTCTTTGACAAAAAAAAAACTTATATGTCCATATATAGTCATGATGTGCCTATATATGGTCATGATGTGATGTCATCATTACTATATATAGGCATGTCACATGATTTTGTCAAATAAAATTTGATAGTTTGTACAGGGTTTTATGTTGTAAGCTTGAGAATTACAAAATATTTTCTGATTAAAAGGCATAAATAATTTATTTTATTTATTTCACTATATTTAAAGAGGGTAGCTTTTACAGCATTAAGCGGATTTGAAGGAGACCACTATGGAAATTATCTCTTCACATAGACAATTAAATTGCCAATTTAAATATTTATTATTAAATAAATTATTTTAATAATTTTTCAAATAACCAAAAATATTTTAATTCAATTTTTGAGGTTCCAAATTTTGTGCAGATAGTGTATTTTTAATTATACAGTTAATTAACCAAAGTGTTTGCTGTGTATTAAAATTTGCCTGTTCTTGGTAATGTTTGTGTTTTTTCGTATTATTTCCATGTTCATTATAACCAAGTTTTTGGGTTCGTAGGTTTTTAACTTTGCTTTCTAATCATTGTTTATGACACAGTTAGTTATAGCAACTTCATATTCCAGGATAATGCTGAATCATGAGGTAAATCGAATGACCAGCCAAAATCTGGCGGTCTGCTGGTGGCCAACCCTCCTCCACCCAGAGTACAAAAGCCTAGAAGACATGGCCAACGATGCCAAACTCTCCGCTATGGTGGAGAACATGATAGCAAAAGCAGTTGAGTTCTTCCAACTCCCTGTTGAGGAGCCCCCGGTTCCCGAGGATCAGGATATGGAGACAGAGAGCGACTCATCGCAACAGCCCCTCATGGCTTCGTCTTTGGAGGTAGCCCGCCCTTGACCATTCCTAAGCATTAACTAGTTGCCTGTTGAAATGCTTCTACCACTCACCCGCCTTGCACTATGCATACTTGCTGTATGTGGTGTTAATATTGATACTAACATGTTTGTGGCATGACTATTCTACAGTACATTTTGCAATAAGATAATTTCACCAATATTATTCCACAATTCAGTCATTTCACATCTTGTGCATGTTCTAAATCACCAGTGTAGAAATACAACTCAACTCTTTATAACATTCATTAATAGATGCACTTTCCAAATTTTGTAGCTGGGATTAATAAAGGGCTTTCATACATGGGTCCAGGGTCCTGTCTAATGATCCATGTGGTGTCGGGGAAATGACTAGTCCATACCTTGAACTAAACATTTTTTTCTATATTTTTTTAATTTAAAAAAATTAACTTCTACTCAGTATTGAGTAGTAATGTCTTGAAATGGAAGATTATCTGGTATTTCTTTAAACAACCAATTTGAGAAAAGCAGACCTGTCAAATCTCATGCATCTTGCGGGAGTCGCATGCATTTATCTTTGATCTCGCGCCCTCATATGAGGCCTATATATTCTCACGCATTCCAGAATTTCTTAAAATTATATCTTTTTAATGTGCTATTTTCTCCAAAACAAGCATACAAGATGTAAAAACATGACTATCGGCGCTAGCGATCCTGTAGTGATCGTCACAGTGTGTTCAACGCTGCCTCTTGGGGAGTAGAGTAACTTGCGTCTGAGTGAGCCAATCAGTGGCGAACTTACATAATGCCGCAAAGCATGAGATCTGACATCGAAGGTGGTGAGGATGGCGATGCAATTCCGAAGCAGTACTATGTCCACTACAAATAAAAAATTTCGTATTTTATTTTAACGCTTGACTGTATTTTCCTTAATGTTTGTGACCTCAAGCATAATTTTCCAAAAATGCCCAATTTCAAGCAAATCCAGAAAAAAATCTCAAGAATGCCAGTGTGAGACCGTTGACAGGTCTGGAAAAGGTGGTAGAAAAATAATTAGATTGGATTATTTTTTAAAAAAAAGAGAATTTCCTCAAATCGTAGTTCCCTTCCCTCCTGGCTACGAACCTATGTTCTTTGCACATTGATCAAGCTAACCATTATCACTTCATTCACAAATTTGTACTGATAATCTCTTTAATAACTGTTTTCCTTTTCACAGCGTGTTCAGTATCTCTTATGTCCTCAGGTGAACTTGTGAAAATAATCCAGCTTTTCTATATCTTGTTTATTAATGATAACAATTGCTTTTGCATTTAAGCATGAAAAGTGTATGCAAGTTAATTATTGCTTATATTTGTTTATATATATATATATATATGCAATATTTTTATTTGTAAATATAAGCTTTTATTGTACATATATATTTAATTGTAAATAACCATTGTATATAATCAAATATATATATATTTATTCTTTTGTGTTGGTATTTAGTAAACTAAATAAAATTTGGTTATGTTACTATTACCAGTTTCCTGAGGGGTTTATATTTATGTCAGAAATGCAAGGTTTTAGTCAAATTGGAATCTATTTAGTTGGTAAAATGCTCAATTTCTTGGTATTTATATTTATTAATTCTTCAATATATATTGGGTTTGTTGTGAGGCAAACTAAATACAAATAAAATGTGCTAATCTATGGAGAGGTCTCCAACGCACTCCTTATTAAGAAGGCTTATGTATATTTCAATATATATTTTAATAATCAATTTTCACTAGGATAATTGGCTTGCATTCTGTGTGCAGTGTCTGGTCCACCTGAGTTTTATTCTGTTAAAAGCTGCATGATATTTCATTGTGTATATCTTCTTAATATACAAAATATTATTATGTTTTTTTCGTTTTTTTTTTTTTTTTTTTTTATTTTTATTATTGTCATTTCATTATTGTTGTCATTATTATCGTCGCCGCCGCCACCACCATTACTGCATAGATACAGATAGAATAATTTTATTATTCACTGGAAATTTAAATGGCTATTGTCAAAAAACACAATACCAAAAAGCGTTGCAGTTAAGAGCACAACTACATTCTTTTACTGCCAATTATGATACAACGTAATAGCAGGCTATTCATTTCTATTATTCTTTCTGCACCATTACATATCTTTATCATAGCTTGATCAACCTATAAATAGCATCATTTACTTTAAACTTTCTGTATAATTAAATTCCCGATAGCTTTAATTCTAAAAACATTTATATTAGCTTTGATATAATTTTTAATTAATTTTTTGTCTGTTGGTGCTTGATTAATTAACTTTTTTAATGATCTATTTTTCAGAATAATGAAGAATTTCCAACACAATAAGATGAACAGTCAAAACCTAGCTATATGTTGGTTAATCACCCTCATGCATACAAACTGCGAGACGTTTCAAGAGATGCAGAAAATCCCCCGACTCACGCCGATCCTTGAACAGCTCATATCGCAACCGGAGGTATTCTTTCCGGGTTATGGTCCCTCTGCGGAAAATGCTACTTGTGATGATGAAACCGGTTCTCCTGAGGGTTTAGAGTTGGATGCCATAGAGACGAGAGAAGATTCGTATTCGGCAAACAATATAGAGCTTGGTGAAGATACCAGCGATAAAAAAGAGATCTGTAGGACTGAGGTTGTGACCAAATGAGGTTCCTACAGCTTTTTTTTTTTTATACCGATATACCATTAGCTTAAGTGCCTTGACGTGTTGATGGCAATTAACATCATATACTTAATTAACCTCAGTAGACATTTGGATAAAATATAAATAGTATATAAAATTCTCATTTTTATTGATGAAGCAGCTCAAGTGCGGAGGTGGTAACCGCAATGAGTATGAATCCATCATTATACATTAAAATGTTTTAAATCTCAATAAAATATATTCATTTAATTTTAATGCAAATCTTAGCTTAAATATACTGCAATTTGTTGTTTATTTTGATGTTGGCCCATAAAAATGTTATCTGTAATATTAATGCTATTAATGTATAATACGTCTTCATCTTTATTCCTGATTACGTTCATAACATGTTTGTGAACTGTGGAAAGCCAGGATCAATTGCGAAGAACCTGTTTTGAACTTAAGATTATACTGCTGCCAGTGTGGTAGTTTTTTTTTATTCCCCAAAATGTATGTTACACCATAACAGTCTCTTCTGTGTATATATTATGTACTGCAATGGTGAAATGTTTTATTATGTAAAGTGTATGCTTATGATGGTGGAGATAATGATGTCAGATGATGGTGATAGGAATGATTATAGTGATATTTATGATGATGATGATGCTCTAAATATATATTGTTTTTATGTAGAATTGTGGTAATGTTTTAGAAAATTTCTGAGTCTAGTTTTATATTTAGCCTCAACAAAATCTGTACATAATTCCTTCTATCCAATACATTTTATGACTAACCCTATCAGTAAAACTAAAAATCAAGTAACTTCTGGACAATAAGTAGATAAGATTAATGATATTAATATTTTATAGAATTGTGCTATAGACAGCAAATCTGAAGAATTTTGAAGTTTCCTTTACTGTGATAGAAGCATTTTTTCATGATGAAATTTTAAAAAATTTCTACACAGTTATGACAATTTTCAAAGTTGTTGAGGTCCATACTGTTTTCATGGACCGCCCGGCTCAAATTATTTGCATTTTTATGAGAGAGGAGACAAGATGTAACCGCTAATTTTCTAAAGTTTGCCATATAGGGACATTTTAATAGGATCCATCAATTATAGGGCTGTTTTGATATATTTCATATATGATATCGCAGAAAGAGTGTGAATTTTGGCCAACGTTTATGAGAAGTGCGAAATGTTTTATTTGGGCTGCACAGTTTGTAGTTAAAACATTGACAGGCTTCATGTAATATTAGTTTTCATATGCTTGGTAATAACCTGAGTTTACAAAGCTTTTTAAATAGATAACAATTTGTATTATAATATATAAAGATAGTTAAAACTGATACTACTAAGAAAATTAAATAATTTTTTTTAATGAAAATATTTGCGCATATAAAAATGAAAATCGTGTTAATATATATGTTTAAATTGTATTAATCTTTTCATATGTATTCTGTAAATGAACCAATTGTTTCTGGGATTGAATCCCAAGATTTTGGTTTTTAAGTTTAGTATATACAGAGGTACTTAGCTGGTATATAACCAAATAAATGTGTTGTTAAAAAAAAAAAAAAAAGTACACAATAGAGACATTGCCAGTCATTTTGACTTAATAAGGATAAGTACATAATTCATAATGATATTGTAATTCACAAATTCAGAATACCTGAAGAATACAGGTTTCATAACAGAAATTTGCCCTCTATAGCTAGAGCTATATGATTATTATTCAAAGCAACTGTCTTCACGGAAGCAATAACAATCTACAGATATATACTACGTTGATTCATTGGTGCGTGAAATATTTGGTGCACATTGTTCTTGTCGGAAAAATATTCAGTTATATTCCCACACATTTGAGAACTAAGTTAACAAAGTATATGCATAGTCCTGTATCTTTAAAATTCGGGAGCAGTAGAAGGGGGAATAGTAGATGATCCAGAATGGAAATCAAAGCCAAGTAATGTTTCATCTACTTTCCCCCACTAGCATTTTGCTCATTGTGTTTGCTGCTTTTACCAATTTTTATTTTTCAATTTTGTGTGTTGTTTTTATTTTACGCCTATGTTGTCTTTCGCTTTGTACACTGATACCATTATATTTGTGTAATATTACTATTATTATTATTTTTTTTTTTTTTTGTAGATTTAAGTTTATTATTTCCATATTAACAAGGGATATGTGATAATACGAAATTTGATGTACAAATAAAAACTTTATCATAGAATGACAATGACAGAATAAACTCAGTTTAGTGGGCTTGATTTTGAAGTGAATTTGCCAGATACCAGTTGTACTTAGCAGGATAGTAACCGGGATAAATCTGAAGTAGACAAAATTTACTTATTAGTTTACATTGTTTAGACCCATGGAAAAAGTATATTTGTAATGTTTGGGTGTGGAGCTGGTTGAGAAGGAAGAGGTTGAAGATCTTTAAAATTACCTTTTAGATAAATCATACATGCCGATGGATGTTTTATTTTCATTTTTGATACTGTATTGTTATTTCATTATTTTATTATTTCATCTTTATGGACTTTCATTTCTTTGAAGCTCACTTTTAACTATATATTGTCATTAATAACAATTGCATCTAGTGTGTCTACACAAAAATTCTGAGTATACTTGTTATTGAATTAATTTAATTAATTTAAGTTAATATAGAGCATAAAGATTAATTTGGATCACAGCCTGATTCTAGGCTGCAAAATTCATATCAACCAGGGCCTGAATGTCATGCTCTCTTGGGCGACCCTAAGGCCGCTGAGGTGGTCATCGTCATGGCGACCCATACTGTTGAGCTGGTCATCTCTCAGTAAAATACCGGGCTAGTACATATTTGACCTACATTGATTTTTCAATTTTGTTTTGAACTAATACAAGAAATGAAATCTTGGTAGTGCTGAGTATTTAATGGTAACACCAACAGTAAAGCTTAAGTTTGTTGTGTTTTTACCATTGCAAACTTATTGTATTGTTTTTATATTTTGCTGGCTGTGTTCATTTGGTATTTAAATCAATAAATGCAATGTATCTCTGCTCTCATTCCTTTAAATTAAAAGTAATAAATCTTTACCACAATGATGAACTATTTGCTTTAAATGTTGCTGTTTTATTACCTAAAATACTTCAGGTATTGGTGAAATATATTTGATAACCTATAACAGACTGATTAAACCTCTCTAAAAATGCGATTTTACACAAAAAGAATAAATGTTGTGAAAGTTAATTTGTGCACTCATTTTATTTTTACCTACTTGCGTTGAGTAAAGCCGGGCATATGCTGCATCTGCTAACACGATTCCACAAAGACTGCAATGCGATGAAGCACGTGACAGATTTGTTTGAACGAAGATTTGTTTAGCTTGCCACCAACAATTAGCGGTATCGGTAACGGTATCACATCATCGATTGCTCACACAGAGCAGATCTGACTTCGTCACTCATATAGAGCAGATCAGTTCACATGACTTAAACCGCTATTGAAATGATATGTCATATATTTTTCATTGGCGGACACAAACATGTAGAATTCTGCTATGGAAAATTGTAGAACGAAACCAGTACTTTCAGTAAAGTCACATGAAAGGTTGTCCTTTCCAATTAAAACGCATCAGCTGACACAATAAGAGAGAGGGCTCCCTGGGAAATCAAATTAAGACAGGCACATTTTCATTATTATGTGCTAATGTCAATCGTATTCTGTTGCATTTTTATGTTGTAATGTGAAATTAGTACAGTATAGTACAGTCTGTTAAAGCTGGTGTGTGTGTGTGCTGAACCATGGAGGTCCCTGGTTCTGTCCCATCAAGCTGCTCTTCCTGTATAATACATGTGAAATTTAGATTGCAGCGTCTTTAAAGACTTTTAAGCCATTTTTCAAGTGTAGTCTACACTATATGCATTAATAAAAACACTGTCCAGACCCAACAGAGGTTTGTCACCCAGTGTAAAGCGACCAAACTAACCAGTATTTTTAGTTTGACAATCCGTCATGAAGTCTGACGACAGGCCGTAGGGCTTAGCCTCGGTTAGTGAAGGATTAGTTGTAAGCCAAATTGCTATTTAACATGATGTTATATGAACTAGGACGAATGCCACCCACTCAATTTAAAGCTACTTTTTTCCATTCTTTCTTTAAATTGTATTTTGCTGTTATAATTAATGAAATCAAATTTTACCCATTTGTTTCTAAGTTGTGAAAATTCTAAATAAAATAGTGATGGGCTTTTTTTTCCCCAAATGCGTGTCTGAAGGTTGGAAATTAGTTTTTATGTACAAATTATTAGCTTGAAACAAGATTAGTATGAAATTAAATTTAATAACTTTATTTATTTCCATATTTAATAACATAACTAGCCACATCATCCATGAAGGAAGTCGCCCACATAAATCCTAACTTTTCTATTTGGCAAGTTAACGTTTTCCATCTTGCGACATTACTCCACAATTTGTGTCCAATATTTTTCTGGTCAGGATGACTTGTAATAGTGTTGGTGTTAAACCTGTCTATCCCAATTACTCTTAGGCCTTCCTACTGATTTCTTGAATGTAACAGGGACAATATACAGGGGAAATGTGCAATATTATGTGGTGCAGTGGTATATTGCTTTGGTTTGACTTTATTCATGTCCTTGGCAAGGTACATTATCTGCATTGCTTCTCTCTACCCGGTTTAGCTTGTATGCTACTGCTTGCTAAATACGTCTGCAACTATAGAACATGGCAATACATAGTTATCCAGATCATGCTGAAGAACACTGTATTGCCCATTTGAACAGCGAATTAGAAATACTGTACTGTAATAATAATAATTTATAAAGTACCATTTGCAGTGCTTTTAATGTTTAATAATTTTTTCTTTATTCGCGAGTTAATGGGAAGCCAGGGCAAATTGTAGATAATAATAATGTGCGATCGTCTATTAGTAAGTGTCGGTATACGTGCGGGAGTGTTCTGAAGACAACGTAATCTGGTTAGCTGAGAAGTGACGGAGGCTTTGCTTTAAGTGGCAGTACAGTATTATGTTTTTATAATATGGGGACACTACCCGTTTAGTATTTTTCTATGGAAATGTACTTTACATGTTATTTTTAGAAGCAGTGCTCTCACGAAGCTGTTTTAGCCGTCAATTTTACCAGTAAAAATAACCGACCAACCAGTTAAAATTGTGTGTTCGTAGAATAAAAAGAACCATTTATTAGGCCTAGGTAGCCTCGGCTGCAATGATTATATGGTATTGTCTTTAAAGCCATTGAACTCCATTTAAAAGAGGTAATTGCACATGCTTAGCTGGCATTATATGGACAAAATTTTAACATTTTTACAATTGGGAGAACACTGAGAAACATACTACATGTACACAGTCTGTATACAGAACTAGAAATAAACACACCCACAACAGTATTATTATCAAAACACTAGTTGATATAATTTAATGCAAATGCCATCAATTGTGTTTTTCAAAATTGGAAACTTCTGCAACATCATGTTACTCATGATTGTTCGCTTCCTTAACAATACTTGCACTTTATCGAGTGCAGTGACAAAACAGCTGAAATAAATCAGTAAGCTGGTGTCATTCCTTGCTGACTGATCTATTGCCTCTGTAGATGACTGCTGCATCATAAACTCTACTTCCAATATACACACGACTGGTGAATTCATCCACCCACATAAAAAAGATGGGGCAGATACAGTGTTGTAGGAGGCCCGGGCCCCAAACTTTCTGAAAATTATAAAATTTGGTTATGAAAAAAACAAACAGTGCCTTAAAATTGTGTAACCCGGCCCCTCTATTTCCAATACCTGCATCCACCACTGTAAGAATAAATCTTTATCAATTAGATATGATCAGGAATTCTTGGCTTGTATCATTTTAATCACAATACAGTATCAGAAAGCTGTTAAATAGTTGATATTAAGGCTATACAGTCCTTCCTACAAATGCTCAACAAATAAGAGAGCACAGATCCACAAGGGCATTGTCCATTGCAACTGCCTCATGTACTCGAGTCCTTGGATTTCTTGCTCGTTGGTTTCCCAAACGACTGCTTCATCCCACCAGCCAAGTTCTGAAATTTTCTTCCAATAACGCTATCTGAGTTCCAAGGCGAATCAAATTGTGTTGTGTCCTGATCCAGTAAGTGGGTGTACTTGGTTCTGCCAGACCGGCCAAAATTCTTTACCTGTATAGGATAGAAATCAGACGAGATATTATGACAATGGAATGATGAACAAAACATTTAGAAACTGAACAAAGTGAAAATGGCTGCACTTGAGATGATGTAATGATTAATGTTGTACAGCATTAATCCTTCTGTGCCAGTTAAAATGTAAACATCCGTTATCTCTTTACCCTTGAATAACAATGACGAAAGTAATTCTACATTTCCTGGTTTAGCAAGAGCTCAAGCTGGTATTGTCTTCTGTAGGAGAAATGGTTAACTCGGCATATTTGTGTTACACCATACTTCACAACAGTTAAGTCACACAACTTAACAACTAATCAATTATTAGAGTAAAACCACATTGCATTTGCTGTATGTAAAGCCGGACGATGGAGTTGGATTCGTTGTACGACAGCAGAGTGCCTGGATTAATAGATAAAGGCATTGACTTACCTGCATAACCTTTGGTAGAACTGTCTTGTCAAAGTGGTCATCTAGTGTAGCCTTGGAGTAATCCCTCTTAAATATGCCTTCTTCTTCATCCTAGTATTAAAAAAAATCAATTTCAAAGCAGAGTTATATTTATGATTGGAAAAAGATGCATAGGTTGTTTTACCAGAAATTTCCATACCCGTGTTGGCCACATTCTCCACAGGTGCCCCCACTGAAAATTTGCTGACCAAAAAATTTATGGTGTAGTAGTTAAAATTCACCTTATTTTACCAGCTAATGCCCCTCCCCCAACCTAGGTTGGGGAGGGAACCTGATTAGAAGCCTACACTACGTACCATGAAGAAAGCACCACGATGGTAATACTTCTGTAAAAATTTGTAGCGTCCTTTATCTGCTTTATTAGTGATCGTTTTAGGATTGTTGTGGAGCTCCTTCCTTCTTTCTTCTTCTGTCATATTTCGTAGTCTGTCTACTTCTTGCTGCTCCTTCTCTCTCCTAATAAAAAATATATGTACGTTTACTGTTATATATTTGACAGTAATTTGTTAAAAAAATAGGCCATTAATATTGCAGAAATGCAGTAATGTTTTAGTAATACAGTAATACTTATATATTTTACTTTGATTCATTACTTACTGTTCTTTTTCTTCCTTGTCTCGTTTCAATCTCTTTAACTCCCTTACTTTCCAGGCCTCATATTCTTCTTCATCATTCTCGTCATCCGTAACGATGGCATTCAATTCAAAAGCATCTTTGCTAACATTCTCGGATTCTTCAAGCTCTCGCCGGGCTTCACTCTCTATCAACTAATTCAGAATAAATTGTATATAAATTAATTCTGTTAACGAAACGGGATTTTTCGTTTAAATATTCAGTACCGAGGCAAAAAGTTGGATATACTATACATATAATGCATTATAAATTATCTTATAGTACTACTGTACAAAGGCAGAATAATTTTTTCCACCATCACTGTTTTTTCCAGCATTAAGCATATACTCTGAGGTCATGTTCATACAAAATATATATACTTTTACTTATAATTACTATTATCATCATCATCATCATCATTATTTGTTTACCCTTAGGGATTCTAGCTTTCTGTCTTCTGCAAGTTTCTTGGCTTTCAACTCCAATTCCTTTATTTTCTGAGCCTCAACCTCTCGTTCTTGGACTGTCACACGGTCTTTTCTGCATAAAGAGACCAAGGATTTGAGAAATTAAGAATCTCTGCAAATTTTATAATCTACTACAGATTTTAATGCCATTTTATTCTCATTTGAATACCTGAAATGTTATATTCAATGTGTCTTTATTTTCAATATTAATTCCAGCAGTATAACCAACCCCCTCTGCCAGAAATGGTTTACTTACTTTGCAACAAAAACTGGCTTTAACCTAGGTCCAGTCTCGTCCTCCGAGTCTGAGTAGGATTCATATTCTGACGATTCTGACATCAATTCTTCTTTTTCCGAACCTTCGTCCTCCTTCTCTAGCAGCTCTTCCTGCATCTGCTCACGTGCTCTTTCCTGAGCCCGCATTCTCATCAAAGATCTACGTTTTTCTATCTCATCCTCTTCTAGTTCTTCATCATCAGAGCTGCTCTCTTCATCCGGTCTGATGCGAACCCTACGTCCAACATCATCACTATCTTCATCCTCTTCCATTTCTTCACCACTTTCTTCAACTATTTCTGGCTCCATGATATGTCTATGTCTTGAAATTCTGCAGAAAATAATAAATTTTTTTTCCAGTAAGTATCATGTTTCAACTAAAAATTCATTCTGAGGCACAAGACAGTTATATTTGCTATTTTCATTAGCAACCTTTGGCGTTGTGGTGTAAATTTATAAGTTAAATCAAATTAGAGTCCTAATTTGAGGGTGCATTTCTATGGGCCAACCCACGTTGTATGCACTTTACCCTCGCTATTAGTATCACATTATATCGTATATAAAGTGGGGTATTTTGTACACAAATACTTCTGTATCTACCTATCGTCTTCATCTTCATCTTCCATGTCTTGCCGATGTTCTTTTAATCGTCGCAAACGTGGGTCCTCTTCTTCAGCAATTGATCTACTCATCTGTACAGGTGCTTTACGTTGCTGACGACTGAAAGGTACTTCAAGATCTTCATCTTCTTCATCGCTAGAGTCTGGCGCATAGTCCGGTCTGTAAGACGTCCAAGAAAGCAGCAATTACTACAACAATATTAACAAATCATATTACCAAACAATAATTTTGAATTAATTAAAAATTAGTGTATGTGTTTGGTTATTTACCTTTTGCCTGATACATAGCGCTTTACTTTCACTTTCTGCATACTAACTTGACCTGGGAAAAAAAATTAATGCATTACTTTTTAACTCATATAATTAAAACACAGATCTAACAAAGATACCCAACTGTAAAATAAGGCTTGCGTAGGTAATATATCCTCCGTGCAAAAATTAGTCTGAGAAACAAATCTGTCCGCACATTTCAGCAAATTTTGCAGTAAATTTCAAGGAAAGTATCTCTCAATATATCAAATTTGTCCCCTGTGCAATTAAAATACTTAAAAGTATGGCAAAGATAAACCAGTATCAATTTGTTGTTTGAAAATATAAACATTAAAATTTACCTTTTTCATTTTTGACAGGCACAGCTCCCGCTGTTGACTGGATAAGTGACATTTTCTGGTTGATGGTTGACATTTTTCTTAAAAGCTTTGTTTCAATTACAGGAAATATAACAATAATAATACTACTACACTGTACTACTTGCTCAGGTTATTTGTTGTACTCCTTTAAGATCAGCTTGCCTGGATACTTCCGCCACTCACACGTCTGAAAGAAAAGCCCAAATACAGATATTAAATTGACCTTGAAAATCAATTACTGATACAATGTGTACCCTGCAGGAACCTTTGTTTTTTTTATACCGTAAAACCTCGAATTGAAGCCCAGTGAGCTTAATCTCGAGATGAAGCCCATCTCAAATTGAAGCCCCCCCCCCCTTTTCAGTTTGCAAAATTAGCCTCGAAAAGAAGCCCATCTCAAAAAGAAGCCCATGGGCTTCTTTTCAAGATAGCATAGGCTTCTTTTCGTGATATTACAGTCACATACACTGTACATCAATTTCAGAAAACAAAATAAATTAAATACAAGCTTGGTTTATACAGAAGTTTAGGTGATTTAATGTCAGTTAAATACACTCTATGATACAGATTGATGTTACAGTGGCCTGCCTTATTTTTTTATATTACAAATTCAAAAAATTGACAGCATTCATTTTGAAAAGCCCCCCCTCTTTACTTTGCTAAAGAAGCCCATCCAAAGTTTGCAAAGAAAAGAAGCCCAGGGCTTCAATTCAAGGTTTTACGGTACTTTAACAAAATTTGGGCCAAAAATTGATCTTGCTTGGAAAATGAGCCTTTTCAACAAACACATTATTGCTATGAGTATTCTATATTTTTTCCTGTAATTTAGTCAGCTTTGGTCATAAAATTAGGCTAGTAGGGAGTAAGTAGTGAAGTAGTACAGGCAGCCCACAGAGCAATTTATTCTCTCCCGCGAGAAAAAATAAAATAATGAAAAAATATTTAAAAAAGAAACATAATAAGTAAAAATCATTTGATATTTTTTTCAATAAAGTGAAGGAAAAACATCTGGACTCCCTCCAGAGGTTCTGGAATGTCGCCCATTCCCTGCCATTATGCATATCTTGGCTTCACCACTTTTGTTTTGTGATGATTTTACACCAGAATAAAATCATCATCATCAATAAATAATAAGCAGGAAATCAAATAATGAACTAAACACAGAATAGAATTTGAAACTGCCAAAAAATGTTTTAAGGTCTTTGTGGCGAGGAGCAGACAGGCTTCGGCCATATTTTCTCAGGGTTTCACCTAGTCAGGTTAGGCCAAGCTAGGCTAGGCCTGTATGGTCTACTACTACTACCCTACCTAGTCCTAGCTAGGTAGGCTTCTTGGCCGCGAGGTAGGTAGGCCAAAAGGGTAGGCTAGTCTCTGCTACTACCAGCCTAGCCTAGCTAGGACAGGTCCATGACCAACGTATAATAATAACAAGATGTTTGCAACTTGGAGATTATTTGGCCCATCGGAACCAGGGAGGGGCCTATACCTAGAGTGAGAACATAAATATGCCTACGCTAATGGGTCGCCTAGCCTAGGCTACGGCTATCTACCACAGCACAGGCCCAGCTGAGGCCCACTCCATTGTGCCTCGCAACCTATGCTATTCAATCAGGACAGAGCTCGGCCTAGCCTAATTATCATACATTTTAGTAAGAAATACAAACAAGTACAGGATTATATCTTACAGTGGCTGGTGTTATCGGAAGCTAAGATCGTGCTACTCCTGTTTTTAAATTAACATTTCCAAGACCTTGGATGTTTTTCGTATTTTCTTTCACAGCAGCAACGCGTCGTTTTGTTTTTCGGCAGCCAGTGACTGTGAGAGTACTGTGTGAGGGTGCTCCAAGGAAATAAAATAGAGGGCGGCAGACTGCAATTTACTGATATCAAGGCTTCTAAATTAAGTATGTAGTTGTTTGTTACGATTAAAACATATAAAGTTTTGAATCTTCACAGCAAAGATACACCGACAATTACAATCAACTTAATGTTAATTAAGTTAAATCATCGATATAAAATAACTAGTGAAAACGCTACCGAGGATTAAAAAAAAATGTGTGACCTTGTCAATAATTTTTCTATTAACTCCATTAATTTAATTATGTTTCTGAAGAGGTATTAAAATAAATCGGGTTCATCCTGTGTTCCTCAAAGCAATGTGGTTACTTACTTATTTATAATTTTTATATAAAAAATATAAGGGCCCTGGTGGCCGAATGATGAATGATGAAGGTTGTGTGGCAGGGCCACCGACAAGGAGAGACAAACAACAGATCGTCGGGGAGAACAACATTGATGTATTGCAATTCCTACAGTTGACAATACATGTATCGATTACTGTAGGCCTAATAAGAATTTTTAATCTTTTAGATTTTTTTATTTATCAGAAGAAGGTCCAAGTATTATGTATTTAAAAGTCGCCGAAAGTGCGGATGGAGGTTTCCAAAAAATTGTGGTGAAACGGTGGTGGAATGAGGAAGATTGTAGTTGTGTGGCAGGGCCACCGACACGAGGAGAAAAACAACAGAGATGATCGGGGTCAACAAAATTGATGTAAGTAATTTCTAAAGTTTTTGACAATATATAATCGATTACTGTAAGACTTTCAATTTCCCAATCTGTTAAAGCTTACAGGCTCCTCTAAGCCTACTAACATGTCGGAAACCTCCATCCCAACTCTCGCATACTTTTAAATACTTGGTGTACTACCTTTGGACCTTGTGATATAATTTCGTACTATTAAGTAAGAAACGTTCGCTAAATTATATATTTTTTTTAAAACTACTTGTTCGATATGGGGCTCGAACCCATGACATTCGCGTTATTAGCACAACGCTCTGCCGACTGAGCTAACCGGCCATGCGAACCACTGTATTTTATTCTGATCCCGGGAATTCTATGATCAGCTTTACTAAGTAGCAACTATCGAGGAAAGAAACCAGCATCTCAGTTTTTCCAATGATGGCAGTTGGGGTTGAGCAACGGGTGGCCGAATGAGGAAGATGGTAGTTGTGTGGCAAAAACGCCACCGACGAGGAGAAAAACAACAGATAATCGGGGAGAATAAAATTGATGTAAGTAATTTCTACTTTTTTTGACAATATATAATCGATTACTGTAAAATTGTAATATAAGACTTTCAATTTCCCAATCTGTTTAAGCTTACTTGATATTCTCGAACCCATGACATTCGCGTTATTAGCACGACGCTCTGCCGACTGAGCTAACCGACCATGTGATCCACTGTATTTTATTCTGTTCAGGGATTTTATGATCAGCTTGACTAAGTAGCAACTCTTCAGGAATGCCAACGTCATCTCATTTATTTTTTTCCAATAATGGTAGTTGGGGTTGGGCAATGGTGGCCCAATGAGGAAGGTGGTAGTTGTGTGGCAGGGCCACCGACGAGGGAAAAACAACAGATGATCAAAGAAAACATTTATGTAAGTAATTTCTACAGTTTTTGACAATATATAGTCGATTACTTTAAAAGTGTAATATAAGACTTTCAATTTCCCAATCTGTTAAAGCTTACTTGACCTCCATCCCAACTCTCGCGTACTTTTAAATACTTGGTGTACTACCTTTTGACCTTGTGATGTAATTTCGTACTATTACGTAAGAAATGTTCGCTAAATTATAAAAAAATATTACTTGGTCGATATGGGGCTCGAACCCATGACATTCGCGTTATTAGCACGACGCTCTGCCGACTGAGCTAACCGACCATGTGATCCACTGTACTTTATTCCGATCAGAGAATTCTATGATCAGCT